AGTGTAAATTTCTGTTCAGTATGATGCACATAAATGGAGCGTCACATAGACAGCTAAAAAAAAGTAGTGTAAATTTCCGTTACTACGATGCACATTAATGGAGCGTCATATATCATACAAGTTTAGATTATAGATCGTGTAAATTTATGAGACATGTCATGCAATATTCCATATATTGTATGCAACTGTCCACTTTTGTTTACAACATTTCTTGCAAGCTGCTAGTTTACGTGAAAAGGAAGTTTACATGTATAAATTTACATCGCCAGTAAAATTCAGAATTTTTTGGTGAGTATCATATATTTTTTTTTTCCTTTATTAACGAGATTTTCAGCCTTAAACGCTGTACATACTGGAGAGTTATAACATGTAATAACGGTTGTCAAATATTTGCAACACAGAAACAACCATCAAGATAGCGTATTATAGTACGTTCAGACTACAGAGTTATAACATGTTATAGCGCTATCTTGATGGTAGTTTCTGTGTTGCAATTATTTGACAACCGTTATAACATGTTATAACTCTCCAGTCTGGACAGCGTTTTAGGCTGGTTCATCTCTAAGCACATATCATATAAGTTTACATTATATATCATGTAAAGTTCTGAGACATTCCATGCAAATATTGTATACAAAAGCTGTTTACAAGTTGCTCGGTTGCGGGAAATGAAATACGTGAATGAATGTTTACATCACTATTAAAAGTCAGAATTTCTATCAGTGTATATTCTAGGGTATTTGAGACTTTTCCTGATGGTTGCCATATTGGATTCCACAATGGCGTTGAACATCGATTTTTGGCATCGCCGCGTGGTCGCCGTTCCGAAAACACCCATATCTTAGAGTATTTGAGACTTTTTCTGAGCCCGATGGCTCCAACACTCGTATATTGTATATTGATCTTAAAAAACTGTCACCAAAATTCGCAAACATGATTCCAAATTTTCGTCTGACAAAGATTAACGAGGCCGCAGGCCGTACGTTGGGCAGGCCTGCTTTAAATCAATTAAACTGTATTTTACCAAACAGTTCAGCTGTAGAGATTCCGGTAAAATTTACCGAAGTCGATGATGATTCTAATTGTGTGGTTAGCGTGATTGCCTCTCACCCAAAAGGCCTGGGTTCAATCCCAGTCGGCACCGCCGGGATTTTCTGAGGTTTAAAATCTCTGATCACGCCTTCCTTCGGAAGGGAAGTAAAGCCGTTGGTCCAGGTGTGGGAGCTGCCTTTCTGGCGTCGGTAGCATTGGTATTGAGTACAGAAATCAAGATCGACGGAAAACAAACCAAGGGAAAAAGGAACCTGGTACGGCACCAAAATTCTCAGCTTATGAACCAGACGACGAAGCCGTCTGCCAAGAACTGCGGATTTAATTATCCAGCTAGCAGTTTTCTACCAACAGGATCCAGTATACAATTACAATACAAGTATACTCTCTAAAAGTTAGCCAATTCCTAAATCCTTTAGCTAATTTCTAAATTATTCCAGTTAACGCAACAACTTCCTTCTTCTGCGATTTTCTGCTCAGTAAGTAAAACTGGTCGTCGCAAGACGTGCTCGGTAGCTTACCGTTTCTGCTAACTGATTAGAAGGTCGGGAGTTCAATCCCAGGCCCGTCTCCTTCCTTGCAATTTTTCACTATACCATATTCTATCCCCATTGCTATTATAAATCTGCCAGCAACGTTTACCGGACGTATCCCATGGCTTTACCCTCCCCACTAACAAACCTCCAAGTTCACTGCATCCCTCTTAAGTAAGTGTCGAACAAACAATCCTTCCTCATCAGTTGCAAGGACGTGGCCAGGACAGTTCTGGATAATTGGAGATAGGGTTATTCCATCTAAGAGACCAAGATCAATCCCAAATCTCGGTCAATACGGTAACGGACGGAGATGGCAATCAGGGTTCACTCTAAGGGCCGAGAGGAGTTGTAATTTTTTTGACAAGCAATGTATTACGTATAGGAAAAACGTGTCGAAAGTGGAGGAGGGAAGTTAAAGTTTTCCTAAGTTTTGCGTGACATAATTAATGCATGGCCCCTAATCGATAACTCGATAACGCCTTTTCGTTAACGTCTGCAATGGGAAATTCGCATAGCAGGCGTTATCGAAAAAACGTTATCGAGTTATTGATTAACAACCCTGGTGGCAATACTCTCAAACAATGGTCTAGGATTTGTACCACCTACGAATTTGTACAACTTGCAAAGTAACCAAAAACCGTTTACCGCTTGGTCTCCGTGTCTTTCATATAACTACAGTTACGCAACTTAGGACTAAGTTAGCGTTTTTTAAAAAAGGTTTTTGAATTTCTTATTTTCTTCTAGATCATCTAGATCTTCTAGATCATACTTGTTCTGTGGTCTGACTAGAACTGATTTATTTCATCAGCATATCTTAACAGCTAAGCTATGAGGCTTATGTATAAATGATAATGAAAGGAAATCAAACACACGACATTGCTTTTGATTCGTAGGCATAACAATTTTGAATAATTGATTACGTGGCAACTATGGTGCTCCACTATGCTGTATGGTGCTGGTGGTAACTAGAGTAGGCTGGTCGGGTCGAATGATCTACCCTCCCATGGTGATTTTGATGAATTTTCTTCAAATTTCATATCTCCTGGGGCTGACAATATTGTTTATACATTGACCTCGATTTTTGTTATTGCTATTGATCAAGACTACTGATGCTACAATAACACATCTAAATCTCATCTAAAGGTGCTCAACAAATCTAACACTAGCAAATAAATCTTTGAAAAATCTTCTTTCTTTGCTCGCATCTACTTGCATCGCTGCATCATCTTTTTATAGGATATCTTCAGAATCGTCATCAATCTTCTTTATATCTACTCAGAGTGCGCGCAGCTAACCACAGCAAAACACATTTTTCTCCTGCATCATACATAGATTAACCCATGGTGGGTATATAAATGGTGATACAGCTTTGTCACTATATAGGCGAGGAGGTCGCGGGGGGGGGGGGAAGTGCGGTTTTAGTGCAAATTGTAAACAAACTCGGTCGCTGTCCCATACAAAAATCCAACATGTCTGAATTATGAATTTGACACATTAGAACACCTATATGTAGTCACCTTGGAGTAACCCCCCTCGACTAATGCAAATCAAGCTGAACATTGCATTAGGTCCTAAGTAACATTGATCGATTCCCTTCGTCGACTTTCTCTTTCGTTTCTAACTTGAGCATATAACCGTTTCTTGTTATGTTTGTCGTATTAGATGCTAGATAAAAGCTTCTTTTATCGATATGTGTGCTGAAAATACCTGGGAATGTCTTTACATGGTTGTAGGAATACAAAGAGAAAGTCGACGAAGAGAATCTGTCAATGTTACTTAGGACCTAATGCAATGTTTAGCTTGAAATAGTTTCAAATATTGTTAGGTTCCATTTTATGGATTTTTTCTCTAGGTAAATATGTTGTATCATTACCCTTTGTTTCAGTGTTAAGTTACCAAGATATTCCGGGGTTGGTTTATGGATGATATCTGTCTCTAGTACTATTAATCAAATCACTGAGCAATACGGTTTACTTCTTAATTCCGTGATGTAATTTGAAAAATATATGGTTGTCCAAATGTAGTTCGCATTACTCAAACTGTATTATATCAGGCGTAACATTTGATAAGGCCCTTAACACGCGAACCGAAGTACGCTCACGCAAACCAGCAACATCATCGGATAGGGGCAACTCTCACCGTTCCGAAAGTGGTATTGGTTTGTGTGGGCGTACTTTGGTTAGCGTGTAAAGGGTCTTAGAAAGTTTTTTTACAAATGCTTTTGTGCCGTTATCAAATGTTACGCCTGATATATGAACCTTACAAAATGCGTGCGTTGTTACTGCAGCTGGTTTTTCATGTTATGTTCACAATAATTCTGTAGTATAGTATTAGTCAGATTAGTTTAATTATTCCAGATAAATTCACTTTTTTGTAAGTGCAATTCGCATGTTTTGATTGAATCAAATTGTTGATATTGCAATTGATTTGCAGGATGCAGTAATTGGGAGTCACAAAAAAAATCTGAATCCACTTTGCATGTAATTTTTTGGTGATATAATAATTTGATTCATCATAGATCCTGATCAATCACCTCCCGGTTTGACGTTAGGCTCTTACCGGCCATATGGCAGTTTTGTAGAAGGCTCTGATTTCGAAATGAGAAACTTGCAAAGGACAGATCTTTTTTATCGAATCTACATTTGTTTTACTTGCAGTAACATGCAAATTGAGTGCAGTGCTATTCGAATTGTTTGGTTTTGGGTAATAGCTAATACTCTTTATAGATGAACCTCCGTCAATGTTAATTATTATGACAGAGTATTTCGAACGAACAGATTTATAAGGCCTGCATCTTCTAATTTTTTTATATTCCTAAGAGTAACTTAATCTTTGATATTGAACGGAGATGTTATTTCTAAGATTCCAGACTTGAACTTCCAATAATGATGTCAATATAGAGCATTTCGATAGTGAGCATGCATAAGGGCGTAAACGAGATGATCAATTCTCTTCGTAGATTTTCTCTTTAAATTGCTACAGCTAAGGGAAGCAATTTTTTTGAATGTGTCCAAAAAAGTGCTGTAACAGGTTGTATTGGCCATCAAAAGCAACAACAAACGCACCGAGAAATGTTAATCCAAGCGAGTTATTAACAAAAGAGAAAATCGACGAAGAGAATCGATAATTGCGTTTACGCCCTTATGCATGCTCACTGTCGATTTAATAAATCAGTATCGGTGCCCTTTCCTTTACTTTGTGCCAAAATGATTACTACTTTTATGATCGACTATATACATAATATTGGTAAAGGAAGTTTAAAGATTGTCTATGTGTGCCTTTGAAAAAGGAAGCTAAAAAGTTGTCCAAAAGCTGCCTGAAGTAGTCAAATCCGAAAATAGTCTCGATTGGACCGAGAATTGTTCCCACTGTCTGCTTTAGGTATCAATATAAACCTTTTTCTAACAATCATACCTGAATTTCCTGAAATATCTTCGGGTTAGTAGGTAGCGGTACCCGGAAGGGCTCCTGTCTTGCGTACCACTTTATTTGATGACATAGTTTTCTGTTGTGAGAATAAAGTGTGTCATAAATACTTGCAAATTACCCCACGACCATCAACGACTCTAAAAAAACCAAACTCACTTGTACTGAGGGTTCATCGGAAAAAGTGGTGAAATGCGTAGCACCGATAGGAACGCTTCCTGCAGTCGTTCCTGTATATCCTTATAGTTGTATCGCTTCCGGTTGGAGAACATTTCCTTTGAATTGCGAATGTATTTTTGATAGAAATCCGAGTACTCTGAAAATCGATATCGTTACTGTTTGGCGAATGGGACGCGGCCTAGTGGGCGCAGTCTGCTCGATTACCTTGATAAATATTACGTTTCATGTTCGGATCATAGACCTCGTCGTCAATTGATATCACCATGTAGTCACCACTGCTCAGAAGGTTCCTATTTTGAAGGCAGCGAACAAAGTCTACCATCTCGATGTAGTCCCCGACGAAAATGTAGACTGTAGAGGAAAGCAATTTGTTACAACCTAGGAGTAGAATCGTTCCCTTCTGTGATGTATATTTACTTCTCGTGGTAAGATATGTTTCGTCAACTATATTCTGTAATTTGTAAATTTTTGACGGTATGTAATCGGAGTACTCGCGAAAGTGATTGACAGTTAAATTATTTCCCTCAGCTTGCACCTAGGAAGGAAAACGCATAATTAATGACTGTGAAATTAATTGTCTGCGTCGCCCTTATACCTTGATGGCCTGTGCAATTTCCATACTCCAAGCGGGATGTTTACCGGCCACTATGGAAAAACAGTGCCAATTGTAAGCCATCAGCAGGGAAACCACACTTTTGGAAACCTTTGTAGCCGGGGGTAAAGTCCTGGCGAAGCTGCTGTAGACGGTTTTGTCGGAAACGGCAGCATCGGCACATTTCTATACGGTTTGCATCAAGACGTTTGTTAGAGAACGTAAATCGGTTGCCGCAATCCATTAAGATACTTACATACGATATCATGGGAATATCCCAGGCAGAGGCAACCAATGCCTCAGTAGTGCACGTTTCATCTGGTCCAATGAATGCCACAATCCCTTCATCACGCATCTCTGTCATTTTCCTGGTGATTGAATTTTGGAGCCAATTGGTAAAATGATGAACTGACTAGACAATGAACTCAAGACTTATGCAAAATATGAAATTTTCGCTCCACAGCGCATAAATGGTTCCAAATTGGGTCCTGATTAGCCTCTCAAAATTTGGACTCGTTTGGTTACAAACCGACTATGAACAAACCGGGAATCCAAACCTTTTGTTCATTCTATTCTACCCTTTTTCTATATTGCTCTGAGAGAAAGATCAATAGCTATTATTGTAGGAAATTTTCTCAGGCAATCATTTTAAAGTAAAAAGTTCAAAATTAATCTACATGTTTGCTGCGAGATCCAAGCATCGCGTTTAATTTTCACATCTGTATGACTTCTGGATGGTGAGATTAGTTCCAGTGAAAACGCGATGTGGAGGAATTCCATGAACCTTGTACTTAAGAGATTGGAAATCTTATGAATGATCAAGCATCTATTTATTCTTCACACAAATATTTATATCTTTTTAACAAAACTCAGGTAATCATGTCACGGTCGGTTTTGAGTTTAAATTGTCAGAAGATGATCAGCAACCGGCTTGGACTCAATTTGAGCACTGTGAAGCGAAAATACAAAATTTTGCATCACTCTAATCAACACTCATTACATGAAGAGTAATCATACAAACGTAGGACTTGTGATAGAATCCATAACATACCGAAAAACAAATCGAAATGAATTGAGCTGAAACAAAATGATGAAGCATACAATAATCAATAGAACACAATCTGAGATCATAATAATTCAACAAGTGTAACAAATCAATCAAAAATTGCTTCACACGTCACTTTCATACCTGATAGGAAAAGCCTTTAAAGACTTTTGGGCTCCGATGTCTACGGGTTTGAGTATGATTTTCCTTCCTGGAAGCAACGCGGTATCGTTGTTGATGGTCTCGATTGCCAACAGCAGGGCTCCGAGAATGACCTGCGGATGATGGCGTGTTAATGGCACATTAGTTGCATGGTGATGAGCACACTCATTAATCAATTGCGATATAAAATTTGTCTGACAGCTGGAGTGTTCCAATAAGCAATTTTTATTGTTCGGAGAATAATGCTCAATCAAAAACTAGAACATCAAAAGGTGTGCCATTTGCAGCTAAAAAAATTATCTCTGTCGATACATCTCAACAATCGTTAAAAGGTGAATTGTAGCTTATTCAACACAAAAATCGGACTATTAGCTTAATTTAGCTTAGATTGACTGCACATATCAATGGTTGCTACTCCGTGATTAATCAGAATTAGTTAAATTGCACAATGAACCAACTGAATGGGGCAGGGAGTGACCATCCATTCCCATTGTGCAAGTTTCAGTGATACCATATATTAAAGATCTATATCGGCGCCATTTGCTGCAATGTTGTTGCCTCAGCTGAATCCAACCACCAGCCTAAGTCACGTCATATGGTGGTGATAGCACCGACAAACCGACATAAATGACTAATAAGAATCGCATTCTCCTTTCGCATGCACACTGCGTCGACAAGTACAAGGTTCAAACAGTGCGCATAGCAGTGAACAAACAGTATATTGCTCTTGATCAATCCAATCTTGATCAGTGATGTTTAGTACTTGACACTGATGAAGTCTGCAAGTAGTAGACGAAATACGCGCATCTGTCAAAAGATAAACAATTATAACGGAATTAAATGGAAATAAACCAACACACTCAAAGCTGTTTTTGTCCTTGCACTTGGCTTGTACTCCAGCAGTGCTGCCAGCCATCAACCCTGTAACTAAGCACCGCCAGTTAGGGTGACAGAAAATGTTGCCGAACATTCAATATGTTTTAGAGATGATATAAAGGACAAACCCGAATTTATTGCAACGCACATAAGCTGCTGTAACTTTTTAACAACGGTAACAAATGACTTGAAATTTTCAGAGAAGATTCTTAGACGAATTTTTAGTGAGACGAAAATCTACCAAGGTTCTATGGCAAACTAATACCCACTTTTCAATAAGGGAATCCAAAAGCTGTCTTTAAATTTTATACTGTTGCGAAAAAGTCCATCATCAGAATTTCCTGAGGTTCTTTTCGAAGTTTTTAGAACTCTTTGAACTCTTTTGAAATTCTTCTCAGAAGTGCTCTGGAATTACTTTTAGAACTCTTCTTGACTTTTACTCACAACACCTTGGAATTGAAATTCCCCTTGAGTTTCAGTAGAATTTCCTCAGTATTATCCAGAAATTATTCCCGGAATGAGCTAGAAATTATCGGCAAACCTTTGCCATTTTCTTCAGAATACCTTTGGAATTTCACTCAAAATTTAATTTTCTCGGTTTTGTTTTCGGAATTACCATGGAACTATCTGCAGGATTCACTAGAAATTATCCGCTGAATTTTCTTGGAACACTTCCCAGAAATCCTTTTGAACTGTCCTCGGAATTCAATATCGTTGAGGTTCTTCTCAGATTTTTTTTTGAACTTTCCTAATAGCTCTTTTGAAATTCTTCTCAGAAGTCCACTGGTATTATATTTAGAACTCCTCATGATTTTTTTTTTCTCAGAACACCTTATAACTGAAAATCCTTCAGAAATTCTTACCCGTTTCTAGAAATTATCCTCGGAATTCGTATGAAATTTTGCTTAAAATCCCTTTGGAATTTCACTCAAAATTTGATTTTCTCGGAATCTTCTCGAAATTCAATATCCTTGAGTTTCTTCTCGGAATATTTAAGAACTTTTTTTCGTATCATTTCAGTTAAAGCCCTACTATCGCATCCATTTGACGAACCGATCGTCGTCAACATCGTCGATGGGATTAAATTGCCAATTTCCATTGGCTGTCTGAAAGTAGTTTGCATTGAAGAAGATGAACCACCACCGGAGCAAAAAATAAATAAAATTAGCTAGATTGAACAGTAGGGAAATGGTGGGAGGTGGACACTATACACCACGCACTTTGGAGTACTCCCTATCCACAGATTATAAAAAAATTGCCCATCCTTAACAAGATTCCTGTGCCCGCTAGTGACTCATACACGATTAAAACACTATACATTGTTTATGTGGGGTCAATTCTGGCATATTGTAGCATTGTATGGTCTCCCTTTTCAATCACACACGAAGAAAGATTAGAATCAGTAAAAAAAACAATTTATTTTATACGCCCGTCGTAAATTAGGTTGGGCCACCCATCCACTCTTCCAACATATAAAGCACGCTGCATGCTAATAAACATACACACATTAAAAGAGCGTTGTGAATATGCAATGGTTTCATTTGTAAACGATATCGTTTCGCAGTGCACTGACTTAACAAAACTGTTATCAAAATAAAATTTCCAAACACCTGCTCGGCAACTCCGAATTCAAAATTTATTTGCTATTAAACATCAGCACTCAAAATATGCAAAATATGGGCCATTAAATGCATTACAATTATTACAATCAATACTGGGAAACCATATACTAAAACAATATTTTAACTCCATACGGAATCATAACGCATAAGAAGAAAAATCGGAAAGCAGACACTGCTTGATTTTTATTTAAGACAAAATCATACTATGCCCCTAATTTGGGCCCATGCATAAATTCAGCAATCGACTAAATTTTCAATAGCGACCAAAAATAGCCATTAGTACCGTCCCAATGACGCGGTCATCTAGATAAAATTGATAAATAACAGATTTTTAGCGATGGGCCCAATCTTAGATGCATAGGCCAACATTAGAGCTATTTCCCCTATTAAAGAAAAAAAAATACTCTACATGTATTTGTACAAGTCTACGTGGCTTGACGAAATAAATAAAATGAAAAAAAAAGAATTGCAATGATCAAGTGATTAAGGAGAATCACACAATAAAAGTATAAATATACCAGCATCACTAGTTATTGTTCGGTTATTGGGTTAATCTCAAAGCTGTTTTTTAGCCTTTGGGTAGGCAAATTAATACGCACATCTTTTATTAATCTAAGCGTAGCCAACATACTGGCTGCAACGCTCTGATGCGACAATGAAATCCCACCCCAAGCTTCTCCCCTGATCCTATCCGTTGACGATGTATCCCTCTATCCTCGGCTAAGCCGCGAGTATTCGGCCCAACTCCCACTAGACATAGAAATAAGTGTAGAAATGTATTATCGGCTCCGTAAAGCTAATGCGATTGAGCCTTCCATAGAAACGAATTAGATAAAAAAAATAAGCCTAGCCTAGAGCAAGTTTCCCACCTATTGCTTCCCCCCCCCCTCGTCTGAACACGCTGGGAGGCATACACATTAATCGAAAATAACCGACAGTTCGATATCGTATACATTTGTCAAATACTAATCAAATCACGAGTAAATTAAATTACTCGGCTGTTGATTTGTTAGGATTATTCTAATATTAGAATATCTGTTGACTTTGCATTGTTGCAACCGATAGTGAACACACAGTTGAATGAAGTATTTATGGGATTCCCATATGCCATTCTCATAGAAACAAACCATAATTGAAATTTACGGTTCACACTGGCTCATCTACCCTATTCATTTGATTTAGTATGTAGTTCACAGCTACAGTAGATTGAACTTACCTTCGAGTGCACGTATCCTGCGAGAAATCCAATGGGAACCTCGTGTTCCGCCATTGAAAAAGCCGGATCCTTTTTTCTCCCATTAACCGGCGATATGTTCCAGCTTCCGTTATTGTTGTTATGGTCACTCATTTGCAGACAATCGCAACTAGCAGCATGTGGTTGCCGCAGGAGGCTAAGCGTTGCTCCGATGGACATCTGCAAACAGCACAGCTTGGCCACCATAAATAACAGCACCGAGAGGTGATGGAACTTTTGATTGCTTTGCTCCATTTTAGCACTGTATCTGAGGACGGTATGCCTCTATAGATAGGTGTTTAACTGTTTACGCACAGATGGTCTATCGCCTGCATTGGTGGCGTATGATGATGATTGATATATATTGATTTGCGAAAAGTTCCGTCTTCGGGAGAGCAACAAACGTGGGTTTACTTTTACTTTGAAGGAAACGGTTGGAGTGAGAAAGCATGCAGCCAATTGTGTCCAGTCCTACTAACATATTAATTACTCAAAAGCAGATATGGAAGATTTTCGTGGCGAAGCAAATAAAACCTGAAAAATTGAAAAATACCTATCATTAGCAATTTCTTACAAGCCAATCTGCTTATGGACAAATTAACGGAACCGAAAGTCAAAAGGCAAGTTACTAGTTAACACAATGGTTACTAAAACTTCGGATTCGCCAGAGCACCAATCGTGGATACTACATACTGCGACTTCGTGTGTGAAATTCTTATCCCACATAGAATTACATTTGACCCCGGTCTAGTTGTTAACATCCACACTTATCACGCCAAAGTCGCAAGTTAAAATTTCATCCCCGGGTAAGTCACGAATGACCCAAGTGTGTTAAAATAACTATAATAAACAAATAAATAAATAAATAAATAGAATTATATAAAGATTGGTGAACTACACAGTTCGAAAAAGTAGTGTAATTTTCTGTTCAATATGATGCACATAAATGGAGCGTCACATATTATATAAGTTTGCATTATAAATCATGTAAAGCTCTGAGACATTTCATGCGATGTAGCAAATATTGTATACAAAAGCTCATATTTGTAAACAACATTGTTTACAAGTTGCTCGGTTGTATGAAATGAAATACAAGTTTACGTGAATGAATGTTTACATTACAATTAAAATTCAGAATTTTTATCTGTGTATCTTTATGATAACTAGGGCTAAAACAAATCTCTGATCAATAAATCAATCGTATTGCTTTTGAATCATAAGAACAGGTTTCAATATAAGTATATTACAGTGCAGCAAATGCATTAAATAAATAACTTTTGTGGATAAACATACTGGTTTAAGCTTCAAATTTTAAAGATATTGTTGAAAAACCGAAAAAACATCAACTTTTTAACTTTAATATCTCTTAAAGCGCAAAAAATCGCAACCTGACATTTTCAGCAAAAATTTAGCAATACTCGATAAACAAAATGTTTAAAAATTTGAGAGAGGTATATATTTTGGTGTTTTTGAGATTTCATCATTTTAGTGGAGCATGTATTATTTCTATAACGTTTTTTTAATGCATTCAAATAGCGTTTTGAAGACTTGACTTCTGCAGCAAAGTAGTTTATCTTGATAAAATAAACAACTCTTCTGAAGAAGTCAAAACTCCACAGACTACTATTTTCGAGTTATATGGATTTACAAAAATAAATGCGAAAAGGTGCTTTAATTTTTAATATATAGTCAAAATGCATATAACTCGAAAACAGTAGGCTGTGGAGTTTTTAGTTCTTCAGAAGAGTTGTTTATTTCATCAAAATAAACAACTTTGTTGAAGAAGTCAAGTCTTCAAAACGCCATTTCAATGCATTAAAAAACGAGGATTGCAGGGAAGCTGCGTAATGAAGGGCTGCAGTCTCGGCCGAGAAGACCGAGCGTTGATCGGGGAGTCTTCAGAAGTGTTAGGTCTGTCCATCAGTTACTCCAAAGCTGACCCTGCCTCCTACCTTGGAGCCGTCGGTGAAACGGAGTTCGTAGCTGTGGTATCGTGTTTGTAGTAATTCGGTGAGGCAGGATCTCATTGCCGTATAGAGTTGTCTGCTGCTCGGAACTACTTGGCCATGGATTTGTCCACTCGGATGGGGGAAGCATCCCACTTTCTGGCTCCGTTCCAGTGAAACTGGGCCACCGGGGTGGCTCCTGGTGAGCGATTTTCTGAAGGATTCGTTTCCCCTCGGTGAGGAGATAGAATTGGCCGTCTCCACTTAATTTTTCGTCGAGGCCCACGGCTCTGGTATAGATTGTTTCCAATGTAGTATCGGAAAGGGAGCACTTCGATTTCGATGCAGGCGGCATCGGCTGGTGTTGAGGGTAGAAGTCCGGCCGCAATTCGTGTTGCCTGGTTATATATGGGCGCTAGTCGGGTGACGACCGAATCGCTGGACGCACAGAGGAGCTCAATTCCGAAGATCAGTCCGCTATGAAAAATGGCTCTGGTGGTATTGAGTACGATGACCCTGTTGCACGTTTTGTGCGGCCCGGAGAGGAAGCGGAGGATGTTCAATCGTGTTTGACAATTAGTCCTGACATCATTAAGGTGGTTGCCGAACCGGAAGTTCCGGTCAATCGTGACCCCGAGGATCGATATGGTCTTCTTTCTAGGGATAGCGTGGCTGTCAATTTTGATTGGCGTTGAAAGTGACCGGTGGCTAAGGCGGCAGATGTGCGAGATTGAGCTCTTTTCGGCAGATATCTCAAAGCCGGTCCTAGCGACGCATCGGCCAACAGCGGAGACCGCAGCTTGGAGCTTTACCCTCATGGCCTATTCAACAATGTTCCATTTGTGCCAAATATAGATAATCTCAACAACACCAGACGATGAAAATTCAACCTGTTCGTGTTCACCCTTTTTCAACTCGTGTCTAATGATGCCTTTTTGCAGGAGTATCAGGGGAAACAACGGACGTCTCTGGAGAGAGTTGACTCTATAACCAACAATCAATACGAAACTAACGATTGGCTCACTACTTGACTAGCCGATTGGTCCCTAGCAAATCGATTGCGTACCTCATTCTAGTCAAAATTCCAGTACTACACTATGTTTGTTTTGATACGCTATGAAAGTTTGACAGATAAAATGAGGGGTTAGTGGATTTTCCTGTGTTTCGAGGGTTGAATCGATTAGTTTGGGACCGAAGATAGTACCAAAGCTGATCCAAAAAGTTGAGCACGTTTCTTCGGGACCTACTAGTCTTAGAGTTACCTCTATGCTATAACTCTGACTTTTTCAAGCTAAATATTCTCAGAGATTTATATCCCTCTTCCGTTATCAATGCTTGTAAATAAAATTTTCCCTATTACGGAACACCATCAATATTAACAATTATTATTATTGATGAGTTTTCTCATTTCATGGGAAACCTCTTTTACCGATTTTATGATATTGAGTATTAATTTTCATGATTTAAAAATAATCTTATGAATACATTTGGTCGAAATTCCAACTTCCTTGGTCTTGAAATCACACCACTTTGTGTTTCCTACGCCGCCGCCAGTAAAATTTTGCAAGAGAGTTCGTGGGGCACTACCAGGGGGGATTTATGGGTGCCCACGCTACCACAGACTAAATTTTCGCGATTCGGCAGGTTCTGCAGAAATGCCGCGAATACAACGTGCCCAAAGGTGATGCAAATTTTCACTCCACAGTGTTCAAAAGGTTTCAAATCGGGTCCTGATTAGCCTCCGAAAGTTTAAACTCATTTGATAAGAACCTGACTTGGCACAAACCATTTGAAGTTTATATGGAAATTACTATGGGAAAACAAAACTTTTTGTTCATTGTCTTCTAGCCTTTTTACAAATTGTATTTTTAACAAATTGGGAATTTTTATCAGCTACAACTTTGCAGAAAATCGTTATTCAACTAAACGTCAAATTAAATAGTTATTAATTGTTTAAGAGATTGATAATCTTATGGCAAGATTAAGAGCAACCGTACCAGTCGTTGCCATTTGCGGCACTATTTTACTTATGCACAGCGTTTCCATTTTGGCTTAATCACTCCTCTCTACACCGGTCGTTGCTATCAGAGTCATAATTTAAGTTACCGTTTTCCACACCGGCAAAACAAACTTTTGGCGTTTATTCAAAATAGCAACCGTCTGATGCGTTGCTACCGGGTTGCTAAATTTATGAACTCACTACTTCCCAAGGTGCGGATTGCTATTTCCCCAACCTGAATAACAACTCCCGGTACGCAAGTAGCGTTATGGTAGAGGTTGGTAAATGTGCCTTACTTACTCATTGGTACGGTTGCTCTAAGCAACTGTATTGTGGATAACACTGTATTCTGCAGTGTGACATAGTAGCCATGATTTTTTCTTCTATTATACGCGCCATAAACACCAATGTTGCCTGCTGAACAGTTGATTTAGCAAATCATAAGACATCAGTGACTTGGATCATTATTAATTTTTGTTCCTTACATTTGATCGAAAAGTGGTTTTGAACAAAGTTGAAGCTGAGAAAATTTACAATAAGCTCAGCTATTGGATCCGTTTGAGCACTGTGGAGCGAAAATTTCAAATTTTGCATCAGTCTAGTGCCCACACATCATTTGTTCGTAGATTTCAAATCCGCATACGACACAATTGATCGAGATCAGCTATGGCAGATTATGCACGAGTATGGATTTCCAGATAAACTGACGCGATTGGTCAAGGCAACGATGGATCGAGAGATGTGCGTTGTTCGAGTATCGGGGACACTCTCGAGTCATGGCACGGAACTTTGAGACGATGGCGGAAACGTACATCAGACTGAATCCTGAAGCTAGGCGGGCTGGACTAGCCATCAACGTATCAAAGACAAAATACATGAAAGGAAGAGGTTCAAGGGAAGACAATGTTAGCCTCCCATCCCGAGTTCAGATTGACGGTGACGAAATCGAGGTGGTCGATGAGTTCGTGTATTTGGGCTCACTGGTGACCGCCAAAAATGATACCAGCAGAGAAATTCAAAAACGCATTATGGCAGGGAATCGTGCCTACTTTGGACTCCGGAGGACGCTCCGGTCGAATAAAATTCACCGCCGCACGAAGTTGACAGTCTACAAAACCCTGATTAGACCGGTGGTCCTCTACGGCCACGAAACCTGGACTATGCTCGTGGAGGACCAACGTGCCCTTGGTGTTTTCGAACGGAAGGTGTTGCGTACCATCTACGGTGGAGTGCGGATGGATGACGGAACGTGGAGGAGGCGAATGAACCACGAATTACACCAGCTGCTGGGAGAGCCATCAATCGTCCAC